ATGTTTTGGAAGACTTCAGGAAAGCAAAGATAAATAGGACCAGTTTGGGACAGTAGTACAGATGCCTTCACCCTTTTGTCTCATGAAACTTCATGAGGTTCACTAACCTGGCACCTGCTGTGGCACTGCCTGACTTCTTGAATCCAAGGTCAGAGCACTGTGCTGCAGAGGCTTGGCGAGAACAAAGCACTTATTGCCAAAACAGGCAGCAATTGTCTGCAGCTAAAGACCCCTCACCCCAGACCAGCCCTCCACACTGTATCCGCTCAGCGATTTGTACTCATTTACAATTCACACTCTCCACTAACTGTCCTTGATGACGCTACAATCAATCGCTAACTTAGATTCTCTAAAAAGATTTCTTTATTTGAAAGAAGAGTGACAGAGAAAGGGAAGGATTGATGGGGAGAGGAAAAGAGAACCAGGGATATGTTTCTTACTCACCAAGTGGCCACACTTCTCGGGCAGGATTAAGCCAAAGCCAGGAGCTAGAAGTCCATTCAGGCCACAGGGGTCCAAGCACTTGGGTCATCTGCCCTCCCAGGCACATTAGTGAGGCGCTGAATGGGAAGTGAGGCAGCCAGGGCTTTGATACGGCATGCTGGTGTCGCAAGCAGCAGCTTAGCCCTCTAAACCACAGTGCCAGCCCTGGATTCTCTTCATGTTCCTTTTTTTTTTTTTTAAAGATTTATTTTTATTTTTTTTTTTTATTGGAAAGGCGTATATACAGAGAGGAGAGACAGAGAGGAAGATCTTCCGTCCGATGATTCACTCCCCAAGTGAGCACAACGGGCCGATACTATGCCGATCCGAAGCCAGGAGCCTGGATGGGTCTCCCACGCGGGTGCAGGTTCCCAAAGCTTTGGGCCGTCCTCGACTGCTTTCCCAGGCCACAGGCAGGGAGCTGGAAGGGAAGCGGGGCTGCCAGGATTAGAACCGGCGCCCATATGGGATCCTGGGCGTGCAAGGCGAGGACCTTAACCACCTGCACCACCGCGCCAGGCCCTGTCTTCATGTTCTTATAAAACTAGTTGTGAATTGAGTATTGCTTGACTACTTTGATTATATGATGAATTCATTCTACTGAATTAACAGTAGATTAAGAATTTATCACTCACCTTATACAAGTTGCTATTGATCAGCAGAAGACCTTGGGTGGCTAAGGCTTGTGACTCTGTTGCTGTTTTCATTAGAATAATCAGTAAAGGGCCCGGCGCATGGCCTTAGTGATTGAATTCTTGCCTTGCATGTGCCAGGATTCCATATGGGCACTGGTTCATGTCCCAGGAAAACAGTGAAGGATGGCGCAAAGCCTTGGGGCTCTGCACCCACATAGAGACCCAGAAGAAGCTCCTATCTCCTGGCTTTGGACCGGCTCAGCTCTGGCCATTGAGGCCACTTGGGGAGTGAACCAATAGATGGAAGATCTTTTCTTCTTATCTCCTCTCTATAAATCTGCCTTCCTAATAAAAACAAATAAAACTTTTTTAAAAATTAGAAATAAGTAATATGTGAACCAATGCATGTGACCTCACTGGCCTACTGGAAAGGCACATTTGAGTTGGGTGATCAGCCAAGACCTCCCTGCCCCGGTTGTGGTTCTCTGTGCTGTGGATTCCAGTCCTTCCCCAGCCTCTCATCTCCTCGGCCCTTGTTTGTCCCCCCAGAGGCCACGGCCACCAGCAGGTTCACCCGCAGGGCCAGGCGTTCAGATGTCCCTCCTGCTCCTGCCTTCGATCCTGTTTTTATTTCTTCACCTCAGTCTGGGATGAAGATGCCTTTTCCTGTTCCCTGGCCCCAGGTCCCTTTACCTGCATCAGTGGTACTTTTGGCTGTGGCTCTGCGTTCCAACAGCCACTTCCCTACTCTGGAGAGGTTTAGAAGCACACACTCGGGCTGAAGCTGTTCTTTTACCTCCGCAGATCCTGCTCCTGGCCGCTTCTCAGAGCTACCTTCCCAGACATTTGAAATTTCTGTACCATGACTTCATTGGATTTTTCTATCAACCCTGACGGGAAAAAAATAAGGTTATTATAGAAAATAAAGGAAGGCTTAATTTGGGGAAAAGAATGGAGACAAGGAGGCATCCGTCCACCAAGACTGCAGCTAATAGTTGACTGAGCCTCACTCTCATTCCACACTCCTCACTCCTGATTCCTTTACTCACTCATCGATTATAAATTTATCAATCCCGGTACTGGTTCAGTAGTCTAGTGGCTGGAGTCCTCGCTTTGCATGTGCCAGGATTCCATGTGGAAACAAGTTCATGTCCCAGCTGCTCCACTTCACATCCAGTTCCCTGCTTGTGGCCAGGCGGCAGGCAGTGGAGGATGGCCCAGGGCCTTGGGATCCTGTGCCTGCATGGGGAATCTGGAGGAGGTTCCTGGCTCCTGGCTTCAGATGAGCTCAGCTCCAGCCACTGCGGCCTCTTGGGGAATGGGCCAGTGGATGGAAGATCTTTTTCTCTGTCTCTCTTTTTCATTGTAGGTCTGACTTTGCAATAAAAATGAATAAATCTTAAAAAAGAGTATAAATCCATTGGCTGTGTGCATCCAAGTCTAACTTGAATAGGGACACTGAAAATAAAATACACAGCAGAGGATTTGCATAAGAATAAAGTATTAACTTTTCAGTTCTTTTTAAAAATTTTTATTTTAGATGATGCTTACATCATTGACCAGGGTGGGAAGAATCAAGAGGGTCAGGGAATTTTTCAGTTCTTTGTTAACTCAAGATCACTTGAGTTATCAGTGATCACTTGAGATCGCTGATAGTGATTCACTTCGGACCACAAATAATCAGTACAGGTGCTTAGATTTCACTGCACAGTTCTTGCTCAAAAGATGCATGGCAGAAATAAAAACTGTAAATCAAAAGCCTTCACTTGACTCTGGTCATTCTTTTCATTCCATTTGTTAGTGGGAGGCCCCTTCCGGATCAAAGGAGCTGTGAACAAATCCCCTACTTAACTTGTTAGGCAAGTTACTCACCTTCTTGAGCCTGTTTCTTTCAAATAAGGATGGATGGGTTGGTTACATGTACAGAGCACTGAGGATGGTGCAAGGTGAATCTGGGAGGCAGTGAAGTAGCAGTGTTCCTTTTTCTTCCCTGGTCAGCTGTACCTGTATCATGTTATTAATAGGAAAGAGCTCTAATAACTGGCAAACACGGCTCATTCTTTCCCATCCCTAATCACATTGCCTGGGAAGCTCTGTAAGGAAGTGACCAAGTGTAGTTTAATTTGATGGATGCGTCAGTGCGAGACGAATGACAAGGTAGCATGCAGCAAAAGAATCCACCAGTTGTCATCCACACCCTGGACAGTTCATGGAAAGTTGGACCAAAACATGATCTTAGAAGAATTCATTGAGTTTTCAAGGGATAGCTCCACTGTTGCTTTCTTATTTTAGTTATGACCTCCAGATAGAACGTGAGTTTTTAAATGATCTTTAAAGGATTTTTATTGGAACGAACATTCACATACCTTTCTTTAGGAGCGGAGGAAGAAAAGCAACCTTCCTGCTTATTTCATTTATTATATCTTAAGATGACTGGAATTACTTTTTAAAAGGTATATTTATTCCTTTGGAAGGCAGAATCACAGATACATGGAGAAAGTGAGATGGGTCTTTCAGTTGCTACTTCCCTTTCCGGATGACTACGACAGCCAGGTCTGGGCCAGGGGGAAATCAGGAGGCAGGAACTTCCATCCTGGTCTCTCGCAGGGTGCTAGGGACCAAATTACTTCCTTCCTGGGTGCATTAGCAGGAGGTTATATAAAAAACATATAGCCAGGGCTCCAACCAGCATTCCACATAAGGCAGCTTGGTCCACTGCACCACAGTGTAGGTGCCTGAGAGGTGGTAACTGATTGGCCATTATACCTGTCCCATTTCAACATAAGATTAGAAAATGTGTGATTTCAAAATCATCTTGGAAACAATAAGCTGATGTTCCAAATCAGAGACATATTTGCTGTGCGATCAGGAAGTGCTTTTCATTTCAAAATATAGCCATCTTTCTGCCTACATTGTTGGTAAAACATAAAATGCACCTTTCATAAAGGAGGTGATTTCTAGTATATAAATTCTACCTTCTCGCGTAAAATGTTTGCACGTCATTAACTAGCCACTCCCAGTTTATTCAGAGTAGATGTGACCGCTCTCTGTTAACGAGTTACATAGTCCAGGGTGTAGGGTCAGCCTTCCTTAATGGAAGAAATGATAATGGCTGTGAAACATTTGCCTGTCTTACACGTACCAACAGGAACTCTAACAATGGATGCAGCGTACTGTGATACCTGTTTTTGCTTTTGCTTTTTTAATTACCCATGGTCACTTATGTTCCAGAACTGGATCACAGTTGGGGATGGCCAAATAATTTACTGTTTGATGATGATGCTTTAGTGTTATTACTATTTTTTCCTGAGACCTAACATGCTAAAACTGTATGTTGTTAAACACATGTTCTCCTAGATGCATGATATTTTTAATTATTCTTTTTTGTAACTAAACGCACATGTTCGCATACAGACATTACTTTTTTCAAGTTGACATTCATGAGTAAAGCAAACTTGAAAAACAGATTTCTTAAAAACAGTTGTTTTTTTACTGGACCTATGTATAAGGCACTTTGGAACAACACCGTTTCTCAACAGGAAGAAGTGGTTGTTTGAAGCAACACCCAGGGGAGATGTGATCTTCCATTACAAAGACAGTACGTGTCCACAGTCACCATGCCAGGGTCACTTCCGCTGCAGGTGAAAGATGGTGAATAACAGAATGTACTCAAAACCGGAGCCTGTCAGAACTGCGGTCCTGGGGTGTCAGCCATGCTGGGGCCAGTACATCTCGCAGTGCCATAGCCACTTATGGGGTGGTTTTTCCCGACTGCTTTCCTCAAAAGTGCCATCTTTGACAGTGACAAAACCACAGCTCTGAGTCTAGGGTGACAAGCAATTGACCTAATTGTCTTCACTGTTCGCTTTTTTGTTGTCACAGAATTGGAAGGCTCTTCGATGGCACAGAGCCGATTGTCTTGGACAGTCTCAAACAGCACTACTTCATCGACAGAGATGGACAGATGTTCAGATATATCTTAAATTTTCTACGAACGTCAAAACTCCTCATTCCTGATGACTTCAAGGTGAGCAGTCTGTGTTAGATTACGTCACATAAACGTGTGAGTTGTGAGGAGGTATGCTCAAAAATAGTCCTCGTTCTAGGTGGTCAGCATATGCCAAGTCTGATAGTAGCGGGGGGGGGGGGCTCACTTAAGTCCTACAGGAGCCAAAGAGAATTGCTTTGTGCTTAAAAGGTGAAATTGCAGTTTCTTCTTGAAGTTGATTAAGTTCACAGGTCATTTCTGGTAAGTCTGAGTGAGCTGCAGAATAAGAGGGGACCCCTCCAGCTTGAAGATTTTTCCCCCAGAAATCTAATGTACATCTTGACAGTTCCCTTTAAAATCAGTACTACATATTAATCCCCCTGAAATCATTCCCACGTTGTGTTTTACAACTCTGGGCAATGGAATTAGACAAGAACAAGTAGAAAGTGTTGATATTAGAAGGAAGTATACAAAAATGTATTTTGTTACCCATGTTGCCATAAGTAGAAGAGTTTAAAGAAACAACTAAATCCTATTAAAAACTGGCTTTTAAAACTTATTAAAGCATTTAAATTCAGGATCAATATATTCAAATGAATCGTCCTCCTTTAAAATAGCCAGAGCTAGTCATAATATATAATGGAAAAATGATCGCATGTAGGAATAAACCAAACAAGAACTATGCAAACTTGGTTAAGAAAACTGAATATCTTCCAACAAGCATGAAAGCAGAGTAGACAAGGGATCATTCTGCCTTCCGGTGGGAAGCCTCAATGTGCAGGTGGCCCCACCCTCCAGGTACTCCATGCCTTCAACAGGAAGCCGTTTAGTAAGAGATTTTGGTCAAATGAAATTCACCCCAATTATGAAGTTTATGTAGAACAAAAAATTTTAACATGACAATGAAATTGTGGAATTCATGGTAAGTGTTGTTGATGGTGAGTAAGGGTGGATGCGTCCTACCAGCATCGAAACATACTATAGGGCTGAAATAATTTGCAAGGCCAATTTCAACAGGGCTGAACTATCCACATATAATAGTGGATGGAGATGAGCAATGTCCAGAGACAGAGTGTGTGCATGTAGAAATGTGATGGAAAAGGTACTTTTTCAAGTCAGTGAGAAGAGAGGACTGATTAGTCATGGGCGCTGACTGCAGAGCCGGAGGCTTGTCTAACATCCCTAGTTTACAAACCTCTGAAATAAAAATAAGAACTGAAGCCATGAAAGTACTAGAGGGGGCCCAGCGCCGTGGCTAAGCAGCTAAAGTCCTCACCTTGAACGTGCCAGGATCCCATACGGGCGCCAGTTCTAATCCCGAAAGCTCCACTTCCTATCCAGCTCGCTGCTTGTGGCCTGGGAAAGTAGTCCAGGATGGCCTAATGCCTTGGGACCCTGCACCTGTGTGGGAGACCTGGAGGAAATTCCTGGCTCCTGGCTTCGGATCGGCACAGCACTGGCCATTGTGCTCACTTGGGGAGTGAATCATCGGACAGAAGATTTTCCTCTCTGTCTCTCCTCCTCTCTGTATATCTGACTTTATAATAAAGATAAATAAATCTTTTTTTTTTAAAAAAAAGAGCACTAGAGGAAATTATAGAGGGATGTCTTACAGTATAATTCTGAGGCAGAAAGGGCCTACCTAAGCAAGACATAATACCCAAAAGATGTCTTTAAAACAGTTTGTTAAAGACACAGTGTACAAATGAAAGGCCGGTGTCCAGGGGTGGCATGATGGCTCAAGTGGCTAATCCTCCACTTGCAAGTGTCAGTATCCATATGGATGCTGGTTTGTGTCCCAGCTGCTCCGTTTCCAATCCAGCTCCCTGCTTGTGGCCTGGGAAATAAGTCTTAAAGGAAAAAAAAAAAAAAGACTAGTGTTGGTTTAGGATAAAAGTTTGCAACACAAGGTTAATATCTGTTGTAAAAGAACCTCTGAAATTCTCCAAGAAACAAAAACAACATAGTGGAAACATTTTTAGCTGTACAAATTTTCCCAAAAAGTAGAAATCACCAATAAACCGTTTTTAAATATTTTTATTTTATTTAAAAAATTTTATTTTACCTGTTCCTTCTCCAAATGCCTGTAACAGCAAGGGGTTAGGTCAGGCTACATCCAAGGGCAGGAGCTCCACCTGTGTCTCCCAGGTGGGTGGCAGGAACTCAGGCACTTGGACCAGTGTCTGCCACCTCGCAGCTGTGCTAGCAGGGGAATGGATGGGGCGTACAGAACAGCCAGGACTCAAATAAGCCAATCCCTCAAACCAGAAACTCTGGTAAGACATTTGAACATTCCCAGTGGTGGCTTAACCCCCTGGGCAACAGCCACCATAACAATAAACATCTGTAAAGCTATTCATTCACTCAGTAAACAAAAATAAAATGTTCTTTTTTTTTAAATCTATCAAATCTGAAAGAATTTAAAAGATTGATGATATGCAGAATGATCAGTAGTGAAAATTGATTTGGAGGGCAATTCAGCAGTAGCCATTAAAAATTCAATATATGCACATACATTCTTTGGTTTCAAAATTCATATCTATTCACTTATAGAAATATTCTCATAAATATGTAAGCACATATATATGTTTATGTGACATGCTTATTATAGTTATGTTTAAAAGATCAAAAACTGAACACAGCTAACAAAAATCCAATGATGGCAGGTGTTACAGCTATTGTGGAACATCAATAGCATGGAACAGTTTGAAGGAATGTAGCTAACTCATCTGTTGATATTTGGGAAAAAAATTACCAAGGTCTTATTATTCAGCGAGTACTAATTTGCAGAGTGATACATATAGTATATGCCCCATTTATATAAAAATCATGTATGTGTGCATACCAGGGCACTTCCAGAAATTCACAGAAAACAGAACTAAAAACAAGGTTATTTGGGAGTCAAAAAACCCCCTTGAAATCTATGCAGTTTTTTTCATAATACATGTTTTCCATAAACTTTTGAAGACCCTTTGTACTGGTATGGAGAGAAAGATCTAAAAGAGTTGACTGCCTCTCCTTCAGGGCTGTGAATAGCAGTGCCAAGGATTATTAGTTAAATGGAGAGAGAACATAGAGGAGTTACATAATGCACATGTTCATTTTACATGGAAACAACTGTGCATTTGGCAAGAAAATGAGAGTTCTGACTGCAGCTAGCATTCCACGTTCCCTACAGTCCTGGAAAGAGCCTGAGCCCGGCTCTCTGGCCAGTAGCAATGCTTAGGGCCTCCCAAGGCTCCTGGCTTACCGTGCTGAGCATGACTGCAGGCTCAAACGCCAGGAGCACTTGGCTGGTGCGGCACGGCTCCGAGGTGAACATCAGCCACTTCATCAGTGACAGTCTCTTCCAACTTGGGGTGGGGCAAGTGGATGGAGAAGCTATTCCACTCTGGCCCTTTCCTAATGCCACTAAAAGGGCATTTTCTAGCATACCCAGTTTTCTTGTTGCATGCCAACTTTTGGATCTCTTTGTCACATTTTCCTCTATGCCATTTTATTCATTTCAGCAAGGTTTTGATTCCACATTCCAAGATAACAGCCAGACCAGAGAACACCCCGTTGATGAAGGATCAAGTCCCCTGAACTGTTATGCTCCCCACAATCCCTATAGGACTTAGTTCCTCCAGCACACTGCCACCTGCCCCCTTCAGAGAAGGACACTTTCTCCAGCAGTCTTCCTCTGCCCTTGCCCCCACCATTATTTCAATCTGGGGCTCCATTTACAGCCAAGGCTAACCTGTCCCATGCCATCCTCTGTGGTCACACACCGCACATTTATAATCCTTCATCTCTGTTCTTTTGCACTTGATTGCAGCCGCAGGAGTTAGGGCTTCCAAGTCACTATGGCTGAAATGAATGGGGACGTGTGTGGCTCCCACGTGGTGCGTGTCTCCCACGTGGCATAGTGCTTGATGATGTTGTCTAGTCTCTGTTTTTTGGTCTTGCTGTCCTCAGGGTGGACATTCTGACCACGTGCCCATTACCTCAAGGTCATAATGTGACAGCCACAACAGCTTCAGCCACCACATCCTCCCTTAAGGCCAGAATGTCTGAGTGTAAAGCTCAGCATGGGCAAGACTGTCCTCATCAAAGTTCCCCTGAAAGATTTGTCTTTTTATGGCTCGTGGAGCCGGACCAGAACCTCCCCTGACGTCAGAGAAGCTGGGACCTGACTCCTTTCCTTTTCAGCCTCTTAGTGACAGAAGTAGAAATGGACCAGGTGGGGTGTCGCTGGTGGGGAGGGCCAGAGTCTGCCCCGCTGGCTCCGCCCCTACATGTTGAGCGTGTCAATGTCTGTGGCTTAAATGAGTGAATACACAGATCCCTAACCAGGAACAGGGAGCGACCGACGCACCATCCAAGGCCCACACAGTCACTTGGTCTGGCCCTGCCAAGGCAACCTCGGGTGGTGCTTGAAATTCAATACATCTGGCAGGCTAATTTTTAAGTTGATCATTTTGTATGGCTCGCAAGTGATGTTATAAATATTCAAATGGCCCTTCCCAGGAGAAGGGTCACACTCCACCCCTAAACAGATGTGTGGAGTAATTCCCACATGCTCACCAAACTCTGGCTCATATCAGTTCATTAAAATCTGCTCATATATTTTCTTGTACTTGGATTTTGTGTATTTTAGGAATCTTTTTCTTTTTATTGGAAAAGTAAAGAGACAGAATAGATTCCCCAAATATTTACATCAGCTGTAGAGGGGCTGGGCCAAAGCAGAGACCTGGAAACTCAGGGCAGGTTTCCTATGTGGGGAGTAGGAACCCAGGCCCTTGACCCACCATCTGCTGCCTCCTGGGGTGCACATTAACAGGAAGCTGGAATAAAAAAATGGAGCCAGGACTCAAACAAGACACTCCAATATAGAATGGGATAAGCCAGGTATTAATCACTGCATTGTATGCTTTTTTTGTTTGTTTTGTTTTTTGGGGTTTTTTAAACAGATTTATTTAATTGTATTGGAAAGGCCGATTTAGAGCGAGACGGAGAGACAGAAAGAGCTTCCATCTGCTGGTTCACTCCCCAAGGGG